CCTTTAATGATATTTTTGTACCTGATGTTTTTACATGGAAATCACTGCTGGCTTTCCGGATGTTTTTTTTTTTTCTGTGCTGTACTCTGATTTATACTGCTGAGTGAACAGTAAGTTATGGGAATGATGTGTGATAGCATCATCTTTTCATGCAAAATAAAATGTTTGCTAAGTTACCATCAATGAATAGTTGAACAATAGTTCTACAATCACAATCACTAAGACACTAACTGCAAGTTGTCTATAAAATTTATATTGTAGAAAACGCTGAATTACACTCGCCAAGATACCATATTATGACTGCAGATTTGAGGGATGTAGCTGATGTGGAAAGTAAACTCACTGAAGCAGGTATTGATAAAAAGTGAGTACTCAAAATCAACTGTTATAAATGGAAAGAAAACTTTACTCTTAGGGTTAACAACACTTATAAACTTGTGAACTTATAAAAATAAAAATAAATTAGGAGCTGTTAAAGCTATATTGTCAGAAATATTTTGTTTTGACACATGAAATAGTCTGTGCTGTATAAAAATTGCAACAATTGTGGTAATCACAAAATACATGGGTTAAAAATTGTTAGCAAACAGCTGAACATTGCCAAGCATTTATGTATATTAGGCTGTGATCAAGTTTTCAGCATCTTAGGGCATCAACAAGTTTATCGAAAATCATGCAAAACTGGCGTCTCTCTAATGCCATCTACTTAAATCAATCGAAATTCGATGAAGTTGAGGGGATTTGTTTAAGGAACACCCACTTTTTAAGTTGTCCTGTCCTTTTCTTTCTAAATGTATACATGTTAGAGAAATCTGTCTTTTAAAAAGTCAGGATAAACCACACAAAAAACTCACCTCTTTGATCATGGGAATACAACCTCAAATTTGCATGAAACTTGTATCACATCTAGTAGTCTGATATTGGCAATCATTTCAGAAGTTTGTTCAATTACCTGCCCATACTGTTTACATGAAATCATTTTGAATTTAGAAATTGTTATTTTATAAATCACATCCACAGATAATCTTAAAGACTGTATAGCAAATGTTTTATGAACCATTTTGTATCAAGAAACTACTGGTAGATCAAATTGATATAGTGTGCAGGTTTCTACTACTGCTAACTAAAAACCACCTGTTTACTTGCAGCTTACCTACAGTGTTCATATCAGAGTGTGTTTTAGTTTACATGACAGTACAGAAATCCAGTGATTTACTCAAGTGGATTGGCGATTCTTTTCCCACCGTGTTGTATATCAACTACGAACAAGTGAACATGGCAGACAGGTTTGGTCAGGTCATGCAGCAGAATTTACGATCACGTCACTGTGAGCTTCATGGTGTTGATGCATGTGCTAGTATGGATACTCAGGTAAGAAATAATACAGTTTTTGATAAACTTTATATTTATAGAGTGAAACAGAATGCAAAATATTCTGTATATTGGTTTCAATGTATTGGTGTTTTCAGTTTCTGATTCATATTATCTTTCTGAATGTATTCAAATTTTTTTTTCAGTTATAGTTATGGATAAAACATTTTGAATAGTTTTGTGATGAAATCTATGCATATTTATAACCTAATTTTCATAAATTATTCAACTTTCTGATATCTTAGTAACCACTTATTAGATTTCAATAAAACTTGGTGCATAGTTTGTTGCTCTTGTTTTAATATTTCTAGAGTTTTTTCACAGTATTAGGTTTTAAGTAAACTTCAATACTGTGGGTCAGACATGTTTTACATTGTACATTTCATAGGCTGCTATATTAGCTGACAGATTTCTTGTTCAAAATCCAGTCTTAAATTTGTTAGTGAAGTTTAAACATTCCCTATTCTCACATACACTCTCAGCACATAGATTTAAAATATAATTCCCAACTCATATTGTTTCATTATCTTTCAAAACGGGAAGATTTAAATGGACCATGTTTTAGATTTTTGACATAGTCACATATGTTAACTCCACAAATAATATCAAGTTTATCTAAACAAATTGTCATCCCAATTTTTTGTTGCAATATGACCTTATGTAGCAATCTATCAACAATTATCAGCAATTCCAAAAGATTTTCATGAAACCTTATGTCCATGTTGTCATGACGATGTAAAATACATTGTTTGTACATTTCAGTAATAAAAATATGAACTGATATCATTCTCTTATACACATAGTGTATATATTGTTTGAGTTGCACTTTTAGTGACTGACAAAAAAAAAAACAATTGACAGAATCAATTTATTAGCCGGTCAGGTGATTTGTATAAACCAATCAGTGATGAGTCATGTAAAGTACAAATAGCCAGTATAATTTTTTTTTAATTCTGAAATTTGTTCATGATTCATGATTCCAGAAAAACAGATTTTTATCAGTTGGTTGGGAAGGTGCTGATGCCATGGACATGATGTGTGTTTATCATAAACTACCTCCAGCTGACATACACAGGTACTTTGCATCATTATCTGTCTCCTTGTCTGCATATTCATTCAAAGTTGGTCTCTTTTTCAAGCAATATTCAGTTTTAATTGTGGCATGTCTTTCATGATATATAGCGATATGATGATATAATTTATTTTAATATGTCAAGAGGTCATTAGCATATTGTTATATATTATGAAAACTTGTCTAGCTTTAACAGCTGGCACATAAAAATAATTTATTTGCATTCCGTCAATCTTTTTAACAAAAAAAATTGAGCCAAAACCAATTATTTAATTGGGCATAATTTATTCCTATCTCATGATGCATATTAGACTGTGTTCATCAACTTGTACCTATTCTCGGGGACGGTGCTACGTCACAGACGTTCCACGTTGCTAAGAGGTGCACCACTGTACCATGCATTTCTATGGGCTCTGTGTGCGCTGCTGTGGAACGCCGGTCGAGCCTGTGCAAATTTGAGAAAACAACACAAACTCAACTTTGAAGTAATCCTGAACAACAGAATTTTATATATGTTACACACGCACGGCTAATCTTGTTACACTTTGTTTGTTTTCACCGCGATGGTTGCCTGGTGGTGAAAATGCCCGGATATCCACCCCGAGGATAGTTCATTGCTTTTGATGAAAAAGTTTTCCTTTCTGAGGCTGTCCCTCCAACAACAGTTTCCACACTAGGACAAGCTCCAACCTTCCTATCTCACTATTTACAGTTTCCTATGAGAGACTGTTCCTCTCTCTTCATTATTGACTGATCCTGTCAAGCATCGCAGTGCTTACTATCCCACATCAAATAGATAAGATTATTTGTATTGATATAATTGCATCACTTCTATAATTTTCAAATATAGGATTGAACGTCTTGAATTCTTGGACGAGTTAGAACTCTTACAGCAGTTGTTCCAACACTATTGTATTTGTTGGGCGTACAAAGACAAAGCCAACATAGGTGAGAAATGAGATGTGTGCCTAGTTATAGAACAAAACAGTAAATCACTACACAATGATTATCTTATTTCCTTGCTGATTTACTTCTTTACAAGCTGTCAAGCCATACTTTAAGTCACATATTTCTGATGTCTTTGGTTATCACAACTTTTTAGATTGAATGATAATATGTGACTGTGTTATTCACAAATTACACTTCATAGATCTAAATTTTGTTTCCTCATCAGTAGTAATACTATATATTTACAATTTTTACTATCACAACTTTGATGCAGTGAATCTTGGGATTGATACTCGTGTATGTCATACTCTACCTGAATTGCAACTGTTAGAAAATAAGAGACTCCAGATGTTTTGTTTTTTTCATTTGTATAGTTACATAAATTAGGGCTTTTATACTGGATTTGTTTTCTCTCAATTATTTTTTAGGTTTATCATCAATCGGCTTTGCATAAAGCCATACCACCTGATGATGCACCAAAGAATTCAACATTCTTTGGTGCATTATGGATGTGTGTCACCGTATATGTGGCTTGACTTGTCTGAAAAGGCTACCTGTTCTCATCTTGTATCAACCAATCTGTATGCAAGGTGAATGCAGAACATATCTTGGGTCATGAAGTGTAATCTTGCACCATAGCCACATGTCAATTCAATGGATACATTTTCAGTACACCTCAATTAGTGATCTACAAACGTACATGTAGTGTACCTCCCAACCAATTTACAGTGGAACACCAGCCCGCATTTCAAGACCAAATTTGATACTCTAGTGTCAGTTTTAATCTGTGATATAGTCCACCATTAGTAACTTCAATGATGACGTAAAACTTGGTGATTCTCCCTCCCTTATATTCATCTAGTTTTTTTTAATTTTTAAACTAAATTTTTAAAGATAATTTTTACACAACTTGAAATTGAAGCAGAACTGTTATTCCCAGCATTGATAAATTTACGATCATCCCCAGTGGATTAAGTTTGATTCATAATTCAAACCATTATAGCTACCATTGGCTATAATGGTAAAATCCACTATTAAAACGTATCAACAAATTTAAAATAAGGTCATATACATGTCTGGTCACATCTAATTGAAAAGGGCAACTGTATTGGGATGATTAAACATAGCTCATCTTTACTGTGCATGTTTCATATATGTATGTTTCGCTCTACAATTCAAAACATGAATAAACAAGTGCTATATGATTGTATTTTTATTTATCGATTCCCACTTCAGAAATCTTATTTACAGCTCTTTGCTTGACTTTCTATGCAATGCAATCACCAATGCATATACTAGTTGTAATGCTGAGTGTATGTTGTCTTGGCTACTCTTGGTAAACTTTTTTTGAAGCACACATCTTATTACAGCGGGTACAAACAAGATTCGTACAGGGAGTTAACAAACTGCCCAGGAAAGTCTCCATGAATATTGCAATATAGCGAGGGACTTTGTTTGTGCTATCAAATGATCCAATATTATGAAAACAATTTGCTTACATTTTGTGATAGTCTTACTTCCCCTGGCACCTTAATTTTGGACTTGAATTTTAATTAATTTTTGTCCAGGTACTTAATATGAAGTTGTTGTCTTGTTTTCATATTGCAATATTGATGCGACTACAGAAAGAATGTTGTAAATTACCAGTACGAATCTTCTTTGCAGTCATCTCAACTGTCTTGAAGGAAGTTGATAGGGATATTGTAAGGGAGTTTCCCAGTTGCAAGTTAACTTGCTGTAATCCTTTGAATGCAATAAATAAAGGTTGTCATCACTTTTTTTGAAATTTTTTTTAAAAACAATTGTGTGGGTTTATATTGTGTTAGGCCTTCAAATCTGTTGCTGTGTATGTTATATATTTATATATTTGTAAATTTGGTAAGGTTGAAATAAATTGATACTGCTTGATTTAAAAAATATTCTGTTTATTTTCTCTCGTGGGCTGGCAAATCGGAAATGGGACAAATGATAACATGCAAATATAAGAAATATTGATAGTATAATAAATTTTTTAAAAAAAGAAGAATTTTATTTAAGTACTTTTTACATATATTGTCTGGAACATCATTTTATAAATCAAAAAGAGGAAATTAAAATTTGAAAATATATGTATAATATAAAACAGACCTGTCTGCAAATTCATAAAAGAATTGTTTTACAAGGAAAAAACTATATTATGACCAATTACAATATATTGAAACTAAAGTTAATAAACTTGAAAATCCTTGAAACTGAAATAAATTGCAAAATAATATTGCATGGAAAATAAAATTGGTGCCATCTTACACTTTTATTGGTTGTCTGGTTTGCAATAGAATCACCTGTAGTTTATGCCGAGGCTACTAATACAGCAAATATGGTATTTTAAATAGACTGTGTATCCACCCTCTAAAGGTCACATGCAACATGCCAAACGAAACTGGCAAACACCAAACTATAATTCTTTCAATACAAACAGGCAACACTCCTGGACACAACCATTTTTCCTGGAGGTGATAAACAGTATGTTTTTAAATTTTTTTGTTATATCTATGTGTTGATGAAAATTCAATTTAGAATATTATTAGACGTTATCCATATTCAAATTACAACTGTGGAATATATCTGTTCTCAAATATTTCATGTTGCAGATGGTGCTCTGTGGACAGTTGATTTTGTGGCGAGTAATTGCATGAAATATTAAAATGATGATTTTCTTTTATCTTATGAGTATTCTACACTAAAACACGAATTATCATGTGATCACAAGTATAAAATTTGATTTCAAATTCAAACAGCCCCTATGAAATATAATATAATTTTCGATATGCAAGTTTTCAATCACAATAAATCTTCCAAGGGAAATTGACATGGAGATAGCGGTTTTCATGATCAGTTTATTTCGGTGCCCGCAAAACAAAAATGGAAGTACGATGTTCAAAATGATTCAAAGTACCAGGATGTGTGACCTTGAGAGAGGGGATGTCATTGAGGTGCATTTGCAACTTTTTATGGAAATATTTTGGTTACAAAATACACTATATACATAATATAAAAGTAAGTCTGATAGGTGCAAATCATCTGATTTAAATGTCAACAAAAATTCTCGGTTCTTGAAATACCACCATAAATTCTTGAAGTAGTAAATTTGCCGGCATCAACATGATTGTATAACAATCATGTGTTTCTCATTATTTAATTTTTCAGTAGTGTCTATATATATATAACAATAATTTACAAACTTGTAAACGCCAAAACAATTTTGGCAATGTCCAACAGACGCTAATATGCAAATTATCCAGCAGCTGTACTTTGATACTGTAAAACATGTCTTTTTAGCTAGCATGTTATTTTAGCTAATTTAGCTAATTCGCTAAATTAAGATGTCACTAATTAGAATAAAGTATATTCTCACACTAAGATTGTTGGCACTTTAGCTAAATTAAGATTCAGTTAATTCATGCATGGAGTCAAATTCGCTAAAATGGCATGTAGCTATTTCAAAGTGTTTTACAGTATACTACGTTCAATCCCTCTGTAAAAATATGTATGCAATGTATATAGAGGGAGTAAAATACATCATTTGTTTAAGTTTGAACATGCATACCCTTATTTTGGACACAGAGTAAATGAAAGTGGTACAGTGAAACATATAAGACTCCCTGAGTTTTCGGTGAGCAATCAGTTTGCAAATAAAATAGATCCATATCAAAAACAGACTGTGACTGTTTTGAATCTTGGTACTTCAGATATCGAAATATTGATATCTTCAGCACCATATGTATAGAAGAATCCCTTCTCTGTGATATTTGATAGTGTGTATTTATCTAAGTAAAGATGCTGGATAATCTGCAATGTTAGCAACGTTTATTGGTGAAAAAAAAAAAAAAAAGTATGATATAAAATTTATACACTTTGTAATTTATACATCTTTATACAAAGAAATATTTATACAGTGAAATTTATGGAAATAATTGGAAAGGAAAGAATGTTTAACTTTATCACTAAATATACAAATGTTGCATTATATTGCCTACAATCACTAGTAAATTGCAGTTTTCCACCACCTTGTGGTCAATGTGAGTCCCAGTGACATAAACATACAAAAACACGCAAAAAAAACAGATTGTTTACAAGAAATTTGTCATGTGCTGCACAGCGACTGTTGCACTGTAAAAATATAAATTACATTGATTTGTAGTTGTGATCACAGGTTACTATGGTAACAATTGTCACCAGATACTATATGTACTGTATTTGTTCGGTTATGCATTAAAAAGGTTTCAACACATAAATGTACGGTCATATTATAACAATGATGGTCTACTTTTAAAGTCAGAAATAATCTTTTTGGCCGATATAAATGCATTTATAAAAGAACAAATATGGTATTTGATTTTCACATGATAGCCAATAAGTCACAACCGGCATGTACACTATGCACCCAAATCAATGAGATAAGGGATTGTGTACGTACTCAATACAGCTCACGTTCAAATGGGCTTGACATGGAAAATGGTCTGCCACATCCCCCCCCCCAGGATGCCAGTAGATACAAAACTTGTTTCAATTTCTTTTTACTGCAGAACTTAAACTGCAAAAAGTATCAGTAGAAATTCTATCAGAATAAATTTCATCTTCACAGATTCTTTGCTTCATTAAAATAATTTAGATTTGGATTTGTAGCTGGAAGTGGCAATCACAAGGTCATCATCACTGTCGTCTTCGTCAGACTCTTCAATTCTTTGACTGTATTGGCCAAGTTCACCTCTCAGCGGACTCTGTGTTTGTGAATTACGGAGGTAATGTTACAGACAAACGCAAAAAGTTCAACACATATGAAATGGAACATAGATCACACATTGGACATTAGTATTAAACACATACCAAAAGAAGATACGTTGGAATTGGTGTAAGGACCAATTTAAATCTAATAATCACAATTCACAAACAACAGCGACAAATTAGAATTACAAGCAGCAAGTCTTGTTAAAATGAAATGAAAATGACAGAACAAGATATATTTACATGAAAATGATGCAATGATGCTGAGATGTAATTCAGGGTTAAGAGATAAATGCATACTTGGTACAAAATGCAGCACGCCACACAATGATAGAACATTAGTAAGGTCATTAGTAAGAGTAAAAAGGTAAAATACATTACAACATAAAGAACACTCAAAAAAGGAGAGATGTGAATATACAATTGATGATATCATGGACACACATGTAGACAGATACACAGCAGGGTGTCATGGTTACACAGCAGGTTGTCAGAATTACATGAAAGGGACAAACAAACAAATGTGGAGTGAATTGCAGCAAGTTATTTCTTTTTACCAATGCCAAAACATCCAGATTTTTTTACAACAGGCACAGTTTCAAAACTCACCTCACGCCCCGATTTAGAACCACTGGATCGAGCTGTTGGAGAAGAAAAACGGGAAATCAAAATTTAAGTCACAGATTAATAAAAAATAAAAGTAAAAAAAAAAAAATTAAATATAATTTAAAACACACAAAAAAAAACTCAGGGTCTATGTATACAATCTGTAATCTCTCTATACACCCTAATAAGAGTAAACAACTTGACCAACCTGATCCAGGTCTATTAGACATGCCAAATGATGATGTTGTTGTTTTTGTTCGTGAATTCCTGGTTGGTGTGGACATGATTAAATCGTCATCAGAATCAGATTCGGAATACGCAGTAGTTTTACTTCTGCCATAACCTATATAACCAATATAAAAACAGTTTTCTCTCCCTCAATTAAACTTTGAAATTTGATTAAGTGCAGTGTTCATAGTGACACAGCATGCTTGATAAGGGTCCAATGAAGTACATATATGTTATTATAAGGTTATTACGAAGATACCTCAAAGAATGCATGAAGACAGTACAGCGGCAGTATCGACCGACACGCAGCGGAGGTCGATGCGACAGCGCACTGTCTGAGTGCATACTTTGAGGTATCTTCGCAATAACCTTATTATTATACATCTTTTTCTGCAAGGATACATCATGGGAATGCCAAAATCTAAAAAGTTTAGAACAGAATTAGTGAACTTCTTTGTATGGAGTCTGGTCAAACCCTGGTGGCAGCCATGTTTGTATTTATTATTAGAGGACGCTTACGTGTGTAATTATTCCATATTTGGAATTTGCATTTCCCAATATGGAGGATGAAAATACCCTGTAAAATACCGCAAAATTATGGCACGCTGTAACTTATAACTTTACAGTGACAGATGTATAATAATTGTAAAATACATTGTTTTTGTACATGAAATACATACTTCTCAAACCTACAGAAATTAACAGACAAGGGTGTCTGTGCAATGGAAACCATTTCAAAATTATATGATGACCAATGTCTTTTATAGATGATACAATCAGCAATGACATATCTATATAATTATTTTTAGGCTTACCTGACTGACTTGTTTTCTGGAATGTCCCTGAACGAGATTTAGAAGTGCGTATGTAGGAATCTGAATCAGAATCATCTAAAGGTGGATGCCTAGAAAATATAAACTTAGAATGTAAGGTGTTTCCTGATTGGTTTGTCAGTTAGGAATTTGGGTTTGATAACCAATCAAGATGATCTTAATGACAGCACTTTGAATATAAGACAGTTCTGATAGATCAAGCAGGACATTTCATAGGAATTATCTAATCAGGAAACAAATTGAATATTTTACCTGGGACTATTTTTGTTAATCTGGTCCTTTCGTGACCAGTGACCTCTCATCGCTGATTGGATGGTGGTAGCGGCATCATCTAATCCGCTTTCATCATCTTCAGATATGTGACCATGACTGCGACCAGACATGCTGCGACTTGGTGAATGTCGGCCTGATCTCTCCATTTTTTGCAACTGTTCTTTGCGAGACCAATGTCCCCTAACTGATGACTGAATGAGTACAGCAGCCTGGCAAGACCAAAAAATAAAGTGAAACGTGAAATACAACAACCAATACAAAATGTTTTGTTTTGTTTTTTGCCAGGCTTGAACTTTTACATAAATGCACAACTTTATAGTGAATCAAACACAGCACATCTCTTGAAGGCCCATCTCTTTACTAGATTTACTTAGAGACTTTAAACAGCTTACTATAAGCTTGTAATTAATTGTTTATAATAATTTATTTCATGATATGATATGATATGCATACGTAAATGACAGAAGTGTGCATATGATCGAAATAAGTCAAATTTTAAAGATGTATGCAATATAGACAATATATAGAATATGTACTTCTATTGGAAATGCGTTCTAACAGCAAATATTGTACTAATTTTTTACTCATAAACACTGAATAATTCAAATACAAGTTAAGTGATCCAAAATGCAAATTTTGCAAAACACAATGTTTTACGTTTTCCAATTTTCATACGACTACTGGTATTCCAGTTATATCACATAAATTTATCCAATAAACTTACATCATCAAGTTCTTCATCACCTTTCTGAAAATACAAATAAAAAATAAATAAATCAGTTCAGAAATATTTCACACATTGTTTTCAGGATGCAAATTAATTACCATTACACTTTAAAGCAAAATACAACTCACTTAATTTTTTTTCTTCAAAAATATTTTCCTCAAAAATATAGAAAAATACATAAAAATAGACAAAAACTTGGCTCCAATATTTGAGAGTTGATTTAACAGTTTAAAGTAAATACATAAAGTGTAGGCTACAATAAAAATACAAGAAGAATTGGTTTTGGTCAGTGGTACAAGAAGCATAAATGCATAATGTAATCCCCTTTCCTCTCTCTCACACCTACCCTCTCCTTGTGTCTTTTCCAGTTTCTCTGAATTGTGGCTGCTGAATGTTTTTGTCTCAACTCTTCAACTTTTCGGTTCCGCTCTTCTTCCTCTCTTCGTCTTTTATTTGTAGAGGATGATGAAACAGAGCTAGCAGAACTCGGTCGCTGTCTGGGTCTTGCAACTGGCTGTTCAGCCTCTCTTCGAGATAAATCTTGCCTCATATTCTGTATTTCAATTCTAAAGTAAGAGAATGAACTTGAGTTTTCACTCAAATCAAACGTCAAAACAGGACAAAGGTCGGAGCATCTTAGTGATGTCACAAACACGAAAATATTTGTGGGGTATTCCCATGCTTACAATTTTGTTATACATGAAATGATGCTCATTCTCGCATGCTTCTCCGTCATTATGGAATCAGTTACCAACAGACATTCGTTCTGCAGCCAGTTTAAACATTTTCAAATCTAAACTCAAAACTTGTTTCAAAGAGCATTTCTGTGAACTGACAGCGTCATTGGGCATCATCGTGATGGATATTAGGCGCTATACAAACTCTTTATTATTATTATGCTCAATTTTGAGAAGTTAAGTTATCTCAATGGCATATTCCACTCTGACATTGGGTTTTAAAGATCATTTGATTTTTGAGGCAATTGTTTAGTCTGCGTTTTTCACACAATACACAAGACCTTTCAGTGAATAGAAAATCACCTACTGATTAAATATTGAAGGTGTACACACACATGCATGCGCTGTAATTTACAAAATTGGCAATACATACACGGTAAATTGTTCAAATACTGAGGATAGTTGATCGTAGGGATTCAGCTTAACCCTCGGATGCATTAATTCTTTTACTGAGCAAACATGAGACCCTTGTGCTGAGAGCAAAAAACTATGTGCCAGTTACTTACTCTTTTTCTTCTATTTGTTGTCTGAGTTTTGTTTTATCAGTTTTAAGCCTAGACACTTGCTCTTCTAATTTCAATTTCTCCTCAAGTAACTCTGTCTCTCTCTTATCCAGCTGTTCAACTCGCTCAGATAAACCACCTTTCAGCACAATTTTACCTAAAATATGAGAAGATTATAACAGAAGTGTTTTTGGTTATGTTTTACTGACAACGAATTTCAGCACCAAAACTTCACCAATCTATAGAAGCAATTTTGAAATTTAATTAATAATAATAATAATAATAATACAATGTACTTTACCTTCCACATTGTGTGAACCTCTTTTAGCATCATGAAAGGAACCACTTTCATACCTTTGCAGTTCCTAATCAAAATATAGTGACTGAATTAACAAAGAGTTTCTAGAAGTTTTTAACAGGCTTATGTCATTCCATGTGACGCAATATACCTGACTGTCTTTACAATGTCCTTAATAATAGTCTGATATTCCTTCACAGGCATAGGCATATATAGAAGTCTAATAAAGAAGTTGTCATCGTTTCGACATAGAAAATGGGTATAAAAGTAATAACCATAAAAACAAAAAAAACTTACTTTGAAGTGACACTGTCATTAAAACTATTATATTGTTTTGTTATTGTTCTTCTGTTCCATGATTGTTTTTTTTTTTAAATTGTGCACTACAGTATATACAGTTGTAAACTTAACTTATGGCAGGGGCTCACGGCCGTAATTTGGATAAGTACCATATTGTCACAAACAACCTTTAATCACAAACAAGCAGGACAAATACTGTGGAATACTTTATTTTCGCTGGAATTAATTTTCGCTGAAAAGGCTTTTGGGGCGTTTTGCTTGGAATTTATTTTTACTGATTTTTGATGAGTTTAATGTGAAATATAGGAAAAAAAGTATATTCGCTAGATTTTATTTTCACGGAATCATCCCTTCAGCGAAAATAGCGAAAATAAATTCCAAGCGAAAATAAAGTATTCTACAGTAATTTTGATGACTCTGTCAATTTTATAGCATCCTGGTTTTTATCAGATCTCTAAGAGATTGTTCGCTGTTAATAAGTAAACATATATTGTTGTGAGGGTTCTTTCCACAATTATGGTATGCACAGTTTTAAATACAGTGTCACTTCAAGGCAAGTTTAACTGTAACCCCCCACTACTAGTACTGTATAATGACTAATTTTCACTGGGTTTAAATTTCACTGATTTAGCATTTCAGGCATATTCAGTGGGTTTTAAATTCACAGTTTTATCATTTAGATAATGTGTTCTATGCTAAATAGTCAGCGAAATAAGCAGAATTAAAACCCAGTGAATAATTAACATCTTTACAGTAGTTGTGTCTAACTTCCAGTTGTTAACTAGTCATAGATCATGAGAATAATCTGTGAGCAAAGGAATAAAAGAAATATATGCGAGAATATTGCAGATGCGGGGCTATGAATCATTATTTTGACTCGCTATTACCTCTTCTAGCTCCGCCACGGCTGCCAGGAGTTCTTTCCGATTCATGTCTTCATAGTCAACTGAAAAATAAACATTTCACAAATAATCAATTCACTTCACTGAGAAATATTGCTTGAGATCGTCAATGCAACTTTCATGGTCGATATCAATTTATGCTGTTTTCCGACTTACATTTGCCCTTCTTTTTCTTTACAGCCGTTTTCTTCCCCCTCGGTGAGGTCATTGTACCTTCCATGGCCGATTCTAAGTCCTGCTTTAGAAACTTGTTATCGGATTGAAGTCGTTGATTTGTCTCAGTCAGCCGCAATATCGTAGCGTTCAGGGCCTTCACCTTAGACGCCTGGTGACTAGCCGCAGGTTGGTCACTTCTATATAAATATAATATAAAAAAAAAATTTTGCTAAAAGGATACATGACAAATCTTATTGCACAGCAAAGGTACAATAGATGAGTACAATAATATCATTAAGCAGATAGCTGCAGTTCATAATAAAAGGCAAAATTTGCTATAGTGCCAACAAACATATTACCAGCCATGCCTTAAAGCGAGGTGGTCGTCGTAAATGTCATGTAAATAAACAATGTATTTTACATGCGTTGTATACGTTGCTATGAGTTTCATATCGAACAGGATGCGACACAACGACTGTCGCCCTTTTATTTTATACCAGTCTCTAAAGTCTCTCAATTTTTAATTTAAAATGGCTTTCAAAGAGCTACCATTGTCACCATAGAAACAAGCGGGAGTAACCCTGTCTTATTTTATGAAACTGTCAGGTAACAGAGGCAATAATAGACCAATTTCCTTTCACTGCGAGATCCTGTGTTATATGTGAAATCGAACATAAAAACAAACAAACAAGGTCATAGTGTCGTAGTGGCAACAAACATTACGTGGGATTCGACAAACGCGAAAGTATTTGCGGGGATATTTCCATGCTTAATAATGTGCTGTACACATTTGATGATGGTCAATTTCGATGAAGTATGGGTATCTAAACACAATAATCTTTTTTCAAAGATTGGTCTTTCAACTTTGAGCTCAAAATCAAATCGTTTGATTTTTGTACGCGAGATCTCACCGTTGAACGAAAAATGACCTATTGCTAGTAGTAGGCAATATGGACAAAGTGTATCCTGGTACCGACTGGTTTTCAAGTGGAGAAAATATAGTATCAAAGGGAATGCTCCTGAAAATTGTAGCAAACTATTAAGGGATGGGTATGAGTGATATCAGACGTCATAATCTCAGCATACAAACAGTGCGATTGCTGTGAATTACTATCATGAGAAACAAATTTTCATAAAGTTAGTTGAAGAAAGTTGCACAGCGACCTATATGGAATTTTAAGTCTCTGTGAACATCTTCATATAATGTTAATTTTAAATTACACCAATAAGCATAACTTGAGCTGATCAATTATTCATGAAAATGTTTAATTCTAACAAACAAACAAATAAGTAAACAAATACAGTGACACCCATATTTATAACTGCTGTGGCATTGAAATAGCAATGGATTTGTTCTAGCAATATACTAGAAATCACTGAAAAGCAACAGCGAAGTCACATGATTGGAATTGCTGTTTTCGCATGTGCACATTGTCTAAATTTTATCTAATTTACATATACAATGATGTTCTATATTTATGTCAATTACATTTTCAGTAAGATTTTGTAACCGTGACAAACGTTATCATCAAATTATGAACACTTCTGACAGCAATGGCAGAATAATAAAGCTGAAAATTAGGAGATACACATTTACACATGTGTATATCAGCACTGGCTAATGTTTGAATCTAAATGACTAAATAACATGATACTAAAGCATCATTGTGCCACGTCATGTGCAGAACAAATCCCATGCAATACATTTGTTGACACATAACTTGAACACATGCTGCACGGTGACTGTGACGCTTTCATGTGCAGAGACATCATGAATGAGGTGCTTATCACATAATACAATGAGACAGCTGGACAACTTATGACCATGACTTATGATGATAACACCTAAGCATGCCCAGCAGTGCTCCAATCACATTTAAACAGAAAAGAACCTGCTTTACCTTTTTCTACATAAATCATATAGGAATTAATGGGTACAGGAAATCATACCACAAAACGGTCACAGAATATGGAGATATAGAAAAAAATAATGAGAAAAGAAATTATATACTCTTGTACATCAAGTGTAAGCCTCACAATTTACAAGCTCTCACATATCCATCTAAGTTTCTCACATTTCACAAATGTTTGTGATCACTGCTAATTAACTGTTTTTTGTTATATACTCTATATATAAAAAGTGTTTTCAAAATTCAGTATGCATGCTTATCAACATACTGCCCTCTAGTGGTGACAGTGGGCAGGACATGTGTTTCCCAAATGTTCTCAGGTTCATGGCCAGCAATGATGTGCCATGTGTCTGAACAGCTTTAATACTGACTGAGAAAGCATTAACTTACCTCCTTTGTGTATGTTCATTTCCATGTGCACTGCGACTACGTAGTCTCAATATCTGGAAACAAAGTAATCAAACAGATTACATAACACGATTAACACTCTCTCACAACATCTTATTATTATATTACAATGGTTATCTCTCTTGACTGCCAATCACAAGGTTGTGAGTTTGAGTCCTGGCTATATCGTGGTATGGTAAGGTACTTTATAACTTCTACGAGCAAGTTTTACCAAACAATAAATGGAAATCTGGTTGGGAATGTAATAATCTAACTTCACAAACTATGGTTTAAAATATTCAAATCCTTGCATTACCGTACTTATCCGGGTAAGAGCCCATGCCTGGACAAACGCCCACCCCCCACTTTTGGCACAATAAAGAAGTTGAGGTCATATCCGGGCACACGCCCAGGGGGTCTTTTTCTACACAAAACAAAAAAACAAAAAAACTATTTTCTATTTGTTGACTGTGGTTGTATTAATAGTTGACTTTCTTGAAGTCTGTCGTGATACTTATAATAAAAATTGTTAATTGCGCAAAACAAAGCGTAAACGCAAAATAGCTGTGACAGCTTTCTGCCTTCAGGGCAGCGCGTTCACCGCTGATTTTTTTCAGAATCATAGCAGTCAGCAAGTCTATAAAAATAAATATTAAAGCAGAAACGGTAGTTCTCTTTTTGAAATATGTT